TCAAGGATATTTAAAAACCTTAAAAACAGGATATGCTCTTAGTTGAGAGGATATACACACACAATGTATATATATTACATCACATTAATAATGAGCAAGTGCCATGATCCTGGATTAAAACATCAATGTTTATCAAATAATATGTAAACTATGTAAGTAGATCAATATAACTTTATCATTCATTCATTAGACCTTTAATTGTGCACCTACAATGTTTTGGAACTATGCTGGCAGGTGTGAATGAAGCAGTGTATTGTCCTGCTGAGGAATAAAAGTCATAATTTAACAATTCCACACATAAGAATGAAAGTTACAAGGAGTAGAAGGCATTTCAATCTTATATTCTTTTTATTACTGGATGGATTAAGGAAACAAAGAAAGGAAATAATTTCAAATAGGATAATATGAATAGTTGTATCCTGCTTTGGATTAACTTTACTTTCTAAGAAAAGGAAAGATTTTACAACTCAAAATGGATTAAAGACTTAAATATAAGACCGGAACCTGTGAAACTAGGAGAAGAAAACATGGGGGAAATACTTCAGGACATTAGCAAAGACTTTTTTGGATGAGACCCTGAAAGCACAGGGAACAAAAGCAAAATAGATACATCAAACTAAAAAGCTTCTGCACAATAAATGAAACAACAGAGTAAAGAGATAACCTACAGAATGGAATAAAATATTTGCAAACTATGTATAGGCAAGGGGTTAATATCCGAATATATAAGGAACTCAATAAAAAAACAAATAATCTAATTAAAACATGGACAATAAATATAGATATAAATAGACATTTCTCAAAAGAAGATGTACAAATGGCCAACAAGTGTATAAAAAAAGGTTCAACAACACTAATCATCAGGGAAATATAAATCAAAACCACAATGAAATAGCACTTCACCCCAGTTAAAATGGTTATTATCAAAAAGCCACAAGATAACAAGTGCTGATGAGAATGTGGAGAAAACTGTTGGTGAGAATGTAAATTAGTACAGCCACTATGGAAAACAGTATGGAGGTTCGTCTTCAAATTAAAAACAGAACTACCATATGATCCAGAAATCCCATATTGGGTATCTATTCAAAGGAAATGAAATCAGCATGTTGAAAAGACACCTGCAGTCCCCCGTTCACTGCAGCACTATTTGCAATAGTCAAGAAACGGAAACAACCCAGGTGTCTAACAACTGATGAGTGGGTAAAGAAAATGTGGTGTATATATACAATGGAATAATATTTGGCCATAAAAAGGATGAAATTCTGTCATTTGTGACAACATGGATGGAAATGGAGAACATTAAGTAAAATAAGCCAGACACAGAAGACAAATAACACATGCATGGTATCATTCATATTGGAATCTAAAAAAGTTGATTTTTGTGGAAGTTGAGAGTAGAGTATGGTTACCAGAGGCTGGGGAGAGTAGGAGGAGGATAAAATGGTGAAAAGTGACCAAGGGTTACTTAGTTGTACAGAAAGATGAAGTTCTGGTGTTCAATTGCACAATAAATTGACTATAGATAACAATAATATATGTTTCAGAAGCTAGAAGGAAGGATTTTGAATGTTTTCACCACAAGGAAAGGATAAATGTCTGAGGAGATTTATGCTTACCCTTATTTGAACATTATATAGTGTGTATATATGCACAGAAACATCTCACGATGCTCTATAAATATGCACAATTTTTATGTTTCAATTAAAATAAATACAATTTAAAAAGAAGAAAGATTTTGAAGATAAATTTTTGAGACTCCCATGAAATATTTAGAAATGCAAAGCACTTCAGAAAAACTAGAGTTACCTAAATGTTAAACTGTAATTCTGGTTAAGCCATTTTATAGTAATAATCTTTCAACTGAATAAATATGTACTCTGTGCCAAACACTATTATGTGCTTCCTATGATCTTATTTAATCCTTTTATAATATCTTTTATTAACTCAGATAAAACTTAGTTATCCAATGGTGTTAATTCCAATTTATAGATAAGAGCATTGACACTTGGGTCAAGAGAAGGCAAGTAATTTGCTCAAGATTACTAGAATGGTAATCAGGGAAACTGGACTGCTAGCTCTATGCTGCCGAGCCTGTGCTCCTCACACTATGTGTATTACCTCTTCTCTTTCCTTCTGCTACATTCCAAAGGCAGAGTTCAGGAAAAGGATCTTGCACAAAGGGACTAGCTTGTAAAATATTCCAGAGATAGCAAAAAGCATATTAAGGGAATTTTAAAAAGATGAGGTGCCTACTAAAGGAGAGAGTGTAGTACAAAAATCAGACTGGATAGAGGTAGGCAGGGGCTAGATCATGTAGGGTCTATGTTGTGGATCTGGGATTTTAATAAATCTGAAGAGAAGAACTGTTGAAGGATTTCAGGCAGGTAAATCATATGATTGATGGAATGTATTTTAATAAGACCATTGTGGCTGTCTAGAGAAAATAGGTCAGACAGAGTCAAAAGAGTTTAGCTAGAAGGTCATTTTAGTAGCTTTGTAAAGGTAGTAAGAAATGAAACAACTAGAGAAATATTTAGAAGTAGAACTATTAACATTTGGTGATAGATTAGAAAACAGAGTGGGGATTGGGGATATCTGCATCAGAAGAGGAAAGAAATTTAACATTAACTTGAAGAGAAAGATGCCTGTTCAAATCATTCTAGATTGTATTAGTATATTAACCCAAAACATGCTGCATTGTTTCCTAGGGCTGTCAAAACAAATGATCACAAACTGGGTGGCTTAAAACACCAGCAATGTATTTTTTTACAACTCTGGGGGCTAGAAGGGACACACTCTTTCTTCAGGTTCTCTGGAAGAACCCTTTGTCTCCTCCTACTTTATAGTGACTCTCAGGACTCTTTCACATACTTTGTCTTGCACCTGCCTCATGCCAGTCTCTCCTTGTCCTCACACTGTCCTCTCTCAGAATCTACATCCTTTTTCCTCTTCAAATAAGAATAGCAGTCATTGGATTTAGGGCTCACCATAAATCTAGGGTGATGTCATCTTGACATGCTTAACTAATTACATCTATAAAAAGGGTTTAATTGCAAATAAGGTCACATTCTCAAGTTCCAGATGGTCATGATGTTTTTGGGAGCACTATTCAGCTTACTACACTATTATTTTTATTAATTTATTCTTGTTCTTTTTTTACCATCATCATTAGTATAATCAGCACCTTCAATTAATACACGTTAGGTAGGCAAGAGGTACTAATCTAATGTCTTAATTGTGCTTGTGTTGGGAGTCACAGAGGCTGGGGGACTCCAAGATTATACCCAAGTTTGCTAGGAGAAATTGCAGAACTCAGAATATAGTTGCACTCATTACTATGATTCATTACAAAAGGACACATGGGAAAATCAGCAAAAGGAAAATGTGCTTGGGAGAAGTCCAGTGGAAACTAATCACAAGATTTTAAGCAAAAGACTTTTGCTTAATTCTACCAGCATCGAAAATCACATAACAATATGTGATATGTGTCTACTTAACACATGTGAAATTCTATCTCTACTCACTAGAGATGGGCTACTCAAGTTTTTATTGGGGGCTGATAATGTAGGCAACCCTCTGCTAGGTTCGTGCCAAAATTCCAGACAAAAAAGCAGTTTGTTTAGCAAAAATCTCACTATACAAACACTCCAAGTTGTTTTCACCAGTTAGGGAATAATGGGAACACTCCAGAAATCCAAGTTCCCAGGCGCCAGCCAAGAGCAAAGCTTGCAAGCAAGCATTTCTAAGGATTATAGTTTCAGTGCTATAATATTAGCTCTTTTCTGCACAAATTACTTTGTTTTATCTTCACATCAAAAAAACTAAAGTTCAGTTAGCTTAAATGTGTCCAAGATTATACCACTACAAGTTTAGTAGTAAATAGAGAAACTGGAAATCAAAAGTAAGCAATATAATTCTAGATCTATACTCTAATTTTAAAAAGAACATGGTTTCATTTATTTATTGTACTGGGATTGAACTGAGGAGTGCTTTACCACTGAGCTACATCCCCAGTCCTTTTTATTTTTAACTCTGAAGCAGGGCTTTGCTAAATTGCTGAGGCTGGTCTGGAACTTGGAATCCTTCTGCTCGGGCTCCCAAGTCACTGGTGTCACAGACATATGCCACTGTGCCCAGCTATTTGACTTATTTATTTAGATTGGCTATGTTGCCCCAGCTTGTCTTGAATTCCTAGGCTCAACTGTTCCTCCCCTACGTAAGCTTCCTGAGTCCTAGGACAACAGGTATGCACCACCACTCCTGGCCTTTAGACCTCTACTTTTTTCTTTTTTTGGTACCAGGGACTGAATCCAGGCACACTTAACCACTTAGCCACATCCCTAGTCCTTTTCATTTTTTAATTTTGAGACAGGGTCTCACTAAGGTGTTTAGGGCCTTGCTAAGTTGCTAAGGCTGGCTTTGAACTTGTGATTCTCCTGTTTCAGCCTCCTGAACTTCTGGGATTATAGGCGTGTGCCACCACACCCAGTTTAGACCTTCTACTCTTAACCATTATGCTTGGAGCCTGATTGACATTTTTTGGGGTGATAGACAGTGTCCCAACATGCTAAGCTCTACCAATGAGCTATACCCCAACCAAGCTGGTTACCTGATTTTTGAAAGGCTTACTAAAATAAAAGGAAAAAAAGAGTTACAATAGACTCAAATTGGAGAGAACCAATAAAGTCCACTAGCAAGGTGGCCATTGTTTTTACAACATGAATAACAAAGGGGCCATTATATAACAAAAACATTATCAAAATAAATTATGGGCTAAACAATATAAAAATACTATTTAGAGACCTTCAGTGTTTAGGAAAAACAAAATACCAGCATATTAGCAATTTTAACATTTTAAGAAGATTAAAGAAAGCTAATGGTTTAACCAAATTAACAATTGAGGGATTAAGAGATTTAGTTTCACCTTTGTGGAAAATAAAAAATATTAAAGTCAAAATGAGTCCACGTGTATACTGTAGCCTATCAGGATTATGTTTTACCTAATGGAGTGATGTCCTGAAGTATAGTCCAGTTTTCCAAATTTTTGTGTTTGGTAGCCATGCTCTTCCATGACATCCATCCATGTTGTATAATTTGGATCTAGACCCTTAAAATTGTTCCAAGATTCTGTTAAGTGAGTGAAGAGGCCACTCCACATTGCTGAGGTTAAAAAAAAAAAAAGACACTGGGATTAAACTAAAGCTTAACAATTTGTTTTAACTATTAAGGTAATTATTCTGAGAGCATTGCTTTCTAGGTTAGACTGCACGTTGTGGAATAAGGCATAACTTCATTAGATGCTAAATTTAGTAAACATTTCCGATCGTTCTCTCTCTTTATCAGTGGGAAAACTACAAGGAATCAATGTTTCCATTTTACAAATGAGTTGACCAAGGCTAAGAGGTTAAGCTGCATAAGGTAAATATAGTTAGAAATAATATAAAGCCTATGTGGCTTTAGTCTCATAAAAAAGCAATCTCTAGGTATTTCTTTGTTAATTTTTAAATCATACATCAGTCAGTTTAAATATAGACCGAATTTCCCTAATATTCTTTTTTTTTTTTTTTTTTTAATTTTTTATTGTTGGCTGTTCAAAACATTACATAGTTCTTGATATATCATATTTCACAATTTGATTCAAGTGGGTTATGAGCTCCCATTTTTACCCCATATACAGATTGCAGAATCACATCAGTTACACATCCATTGATTTACATATTGCCATACTAGTGTCTGTTGTATTCTGCTGTCTTTCCTATCCTCTACTATCCCCCCTCCCCTCCCCTCCCCTCCCCTCCCCTCTTCTCTCTCTGCCCCCTTTACTGACATTCGTTTGTCCCCCTTGTATTATTTTTCCCCTTCCCCTCACTTCCTCTTGTATGTACTTTTGTATACCTCTGAGGGTCTCCTTCCATTTCCATGCATTTTCCCTTCTCTCTCCCTTTCCCTCCCACCTCTCATCCCTGTTTAATGTTAATCTTCTTCTCATGCTCTTCGACCCTACTCTGTTCTTAGCTACTCTCCTTATATCAAAGAAGACATTAGACATTTGTTTTTTAGGGATTGGCTAGCTTCACTTAGCATAATCTGCTCTAATGCCATCCATTTCCCTGTAAATTCTATGATTTTGTCATTTTTAAATGCAGAGTAATACTCCATTGTGTATAAATGCCACATTTTTTTAATCCATTCATCCATTGAAGGGCATCTAGGTTGGTTCCACAGTCTAGCTATTGTGAATTGTGCTGCTATGAACATCGATGTAGCAGTGTCCCTGTAGCATGCTCTTTTTAGGTCTTTAGGGAATAGACCGAGAAGGGGAATAGCTGGGTCAAATGGTGGCTCCATTCCCAGCTTTCCAAGAAATCTCCATACTGCTTTCCAAATTGGCTGCACCAATTTGCAGTCCCACCAGCAATGTACAAGTGTACCCTTTTCCCCACATCCTCGCCAGCACTTGTTGTTGTTTGACTTCATAATGGCTGCCAATCTAACTGGAGTGAGATGGTATCTTAGGGTGGTTTTGATTTGCATTTCTCTGACTGCTAGAGATGGTGAGCATTTTTTCATGTACTTGTTGATTGACTGTATGTCCTCCTCTGAGAAGTGTCTGTTCAGGTCCTTGGCCCATTTGTTGATTGGGTTGTTTGTTCTCTTATTGTCTAATTTTTTGAGCTCTTTGTATACTCTGGATATTAGGGCTCTATCTGAGGTGTGAGGAGTAAAGATTTGTTCCCAGGATGTAGGCTCTCTATTTACCTCTCTTATTGTATCTTTTGCTGAGAAAAAACTTTTTAGTTTGAGTAAGTCCCATTTGTTGATTCTAGTTATTAACTTTTGTGCTATGGGTGTCCTATTGAGGAATTTGGAGCCCGACCCCACCGACTGTAGATCGTAGCCAACTTTCTCTTCTATCAGACGGCGCGTCTCTGATTTGATATCAAGCTCCTTGATCCATTTTGAATTAACTTTTGTGCATGGCGAGAGAAAGGGATTCAGTTTCATTTTGTTGCATATGGATTTCCAGTTTTCCCAGCACCATTTGTTGAAGATGCTATCCTTCCTCCATTGCATGCTTTTAGCCCCTTTATCAAATATAAGGTAGTTGTAGTTTTGTGGATTGGTTTCTGTGTCCTCTATTCTGTACCATTGGTCCACCCGCCTGTTTTGGTACCAGTACCATGCTGTTTTTGTTACTATTGCTCTGTAATATAGTTTGAAGTCTGGTATCGCTATACCGCCTGATTCACACTTCCTGCTTAGCATTGTTTTTGCTATTCTGGGTCTTTTATTTTTCCATATGAATTTCATGATTGCTTTCTCTATTTCTACAAGAAATGCCGTTGGGATTTTGATTGGCATTGCATTAAACCTATAGAGAACTTTTGGTAATATCGCCATTTTGATGATGTTAGTTCTGCCTATCCATGAACAGGGTATATTTTTCCATCTTCTAAGATCTTCTTCTATTTCTCTCTTTAGGGTTCTGTAGTTTTCATTGTATAAGTCTTTCACCTCTTTTGTTAGGTTGATTCCCAAGTATTTTATTTTTTTTGAAGATATTTTGAATGGAGTGGTTGTCCTCATTTCCATTTCAGAGGATTTGTCGCTGATATACAGGAATGCCTTTGATTTATGCGTGTTGATTTTATATCCTGCCACTTTGCTGAATTCATTTATTAGCTCTAATAGTTTCTTTGTAGACCCTTTTGGGTCTGCTAGGTATAGAATCATGTCATCTGCAAATAGTGATAATTTAAGTTCTTCTTTTCCTATTTTGATGCCTTTAATTTCTTTCGTCTGTCTAATTGCTCTGGCCAGTGTTTCGAGAACTATGTTGAACAGAAGTGGTGAGAGAGGGCATCCCTGTCTTGTTCCAGATTTTAGAGGGAATGCCTTCAATTTTTCTCCATTCAGAATGATGCTAGCCTGAGGCTTAGCATAGATTGCTTTTACAATATTGAGGTATGTTCCTGTTATCCCTAGTTTTTCTAGAGTTTTGAACATAAAGGGATGCTGTACTTTGTCGAATGCTTTTTCCGCATCTATCGAGATGATCATATGGTTCTTATTTTTAAGTCTATTGATGTGGTGAATAACATTTATTGATTTCCTTATATTGAACCAGCCTTGCATCCCAGGGATGAATCCTACTTGATCATGGTGCACAATTTTTTTTGATGTGCCTTTGTATCCGAGTGGCCAGAATTTTATTGAGGATTTTTGCATCTAGGTTCATTAGAGATATTGGTCTGTAGTTTTCTTTCTTTGAAGTGTCTTTGTCTGGTTTAGGTATCAGGGTGATGTTGGCCTCGTAGAATGAATTTGGAAGTTCTCCCTCTTTTTCTATTTCCCGAAGTAGCTTGAAAAGTATTGGTATTAGTTCCTCTTTAAAGGTTTTGTAAAACTCTGCTGTATACCCATCCGGTCCTGGGCTTTTCTTAGTTGGTAGTCTTTTGATGGTTTCTTCTATTTCCTCAATTGATATTGGTCTGTTTAGGTTGTCTATATCCTCCTGACTCAATCTGGGCAGATCATATGACTTAAGAAATTTATCTATGCCTTCACTATCTTCTAATTTATTGGAGTATAAGGATTCAAAATAATTTTTGATTATCTTCTGTATTTCTGAAGTGTCTGTTGTGATATTGCCTCTTTCATCCCGTATGTTAGTGATTTGAGTTCTCTCTCTTCTTCTCTTCGCTAGCATGGCTAAGGGTCTGTCGATTTTGTTTATTTTTTCAAAGAACCAACTTTTAGTTTTGTCAATTTTTTCAATTGTTTCTTTTGTTTCGATTTCATTGATTTCAGCTCTGATTTTAATTATTTCTTGCCTTCTACTTCTTTTGCTGTTGTTTTGCTCTTCTTTTTCTAGGATTTTGAGATGAAGTATGAGATCATTTATTTGTTGGTTTTTTCTTTTTTTAAGGAATGAACTCCAAGCAATGAATTTTCCTCTTAGAACTGCTTTCAATGTGTCCCATAGATTCCGATATGTTGTGTCTGTGTTTTCATTAATCTCTAAGAATTTTTTAATTTCCTCCTTGATGTCTTCTATAACCCATTGATCATTCAGTAACCTATTGTTCATTCTCCAAGTGATATATTCTTTTTCCTTCCTTCTTTTATCGTTGATTTTCAGTTCCATTCCATTATGATCAGATAGGATGCATGGTATTATCTCTACTCCTTTGTATTGTCTAAGAGTTTCCCTGTGACATAATATATGATCTATTTTTGAGAAGGATCCATGTGCTGCTGAGAAAAAAGTGTAACTGTTTGATGTTGGGTGGTATATTCTATATATGTCAATTAAGTCTAGGTTATTAATTGTGTTATTGAGTTCTATAGTTTCCTTATTCAACTTTTGTTTGGAAGATCTGTCCAGTGGTGAGAGAGGTGTGTTGAAGTCTCCCATGATTATTGTATGGTGGTCTATTAGACTCTTGAACTTGAGAAGAGTTTGTTTGATGAACATAGCTGCACCATTGTTTGGGGCATATATATTTATGATTGTTATGTCTTGTTGGTGTATGGTTCCCTTGAGCAGTATGTAGTGTCCCTCTTTATCCCTTTTGATTAACTTTGGCTTAAAATCTATTTTATTTGATATGAGTATGGATACTCCTGCTTGTTTCCGAAGTCCATATGAGTGATATGATTTTTCCCAACCTTTCACCTTCAGCCTATGTATGTCTTTTCCTATCAAATGCGTCTCCTGTAGGCAGCATATTGTTGGGTCTTGTTTTGTGATCCATTCTACTAGCCTGTGTCTCTTAATTGGTGAGTTTAAGCCATTAACATTTAGGGTTATTATTGAGATATGGGTTGTTCTTCCAGCCATATTTGTTTATTTATGTTACTAAACATGGTTT